ATATTTTACGAAACATAAACATGTGCTATTGCTACATTATAAACAAATAAAACATGAATCCATACTTTACTCCAATTAGGAATGGTAATGAAAACGGCATTTCCAAGCAAACAAACATAATTAGGAGTTAGCATTGGAAACGCTGGGCGCACAAAGATTTTGTTTTATTTGTTATTTTATTCATAACTATTTCAACAGACAAAACGCCCAATTAAAGGAATATTTTAGACAACTGAATGACACATGACAAAATAAAATTACTGGTCGTAGAAAAATAGTTGGTGTAAATTTGTTTGCTTTCCCGGCAACGTAATATGGTTTTATTTTTTTACGAATTTATTTTATTGTCTCTCAATTATAGTTTGCTATATTCCCCGTTTAGTATTTTCTGTACAGATTTTTTTTTCAAAATCAAACACGCAGGGAATTTTTAATTTTCCCTAAGAATTTGACTTTGAACTTATCAAGAAATGATATAATTTCAACCAGTTTCACAAACATTCAGGTTTTAGTTATTCTCTGAATGCTAATGATGATGATGAAAGGATAAACTTTGCGAAATATGACGTACATTTTATGAAATTAATATCCAATAGTAGTCCCATTTGAACATAATTAAATACTATAATAAATGATTCAACTACGATATACTAACTAATTGGTATAAACCAACGCATGAATTCAACGAGTGTGCGGCAACGCACCAGAGTGGATACAACAGAACACACAAACATTCCACAATATTATTATTTTGCGTTTAAAAAATATAAATTAGGGTATAGTATTTCTTGTCTGCCATTATAACCCACTTTTCAGTGGTTGATAATTGACCGCAAAATGTTAAATTGGTAAAAGTATTGCATTTTTAGAACAATTCTGACGCAATAAGGCTACCTATTAATGAATCTTCTGTGTATGTTATATTGGAAACTATGTGCCACCCACCCACTGCATACTCAATGTCACCAATAGTAACCTCTGAACTACTAGTATACGCTATTAAAAAAATTGTCACCGGCAGTTATCCACGGGTTTTCATATGGTAGAATACAATCCTCAATTCAGCAAAATGATGACCCAAATGTATATCTTATATCAGATGCTACCAATGAAAATAATTTAGAACAGGATTGCACATATCTTTTAACGTTGATTGAAAACCATTTCGATACAATATGGCTATATTTAGCGGCCGCATTTCATTTTTCATAATCATTGAGATAATATTATTTCACTTGTGCCAAGTATCGTTCATCCCGACGTGGATAATATTACTGTGCAGGGTTAATTATTCACTAGGTTTTAATTTTGCTTATTTCGCCGACTGGAAAATGCGCTAAATTAAAACCCAGTGAATGTGTAAAATTTAGCATGGAACACACTATCTGAATGATAAAACCGTGAATTTAAAACCCATTGAATATGCCTGATATGCTAAATCAGTGAAAGTTAAACCCAGTGAAAATTAGTCATTTTACAGTATCTCATTTTCCTCGTGTTTTGTTCCTATAAAAATAATATTATCTCATTTATACAGTTTATTGACCATATGTAGATAATACTATTTAGTTTTTTCTATGTATCCTCCATCCCCATTTGCATTATGTTTCTCATTTGTTCCATGCATTGTCCATCTTTAGTGAGATAATATTGCCCGACTTGTCTCCCATGAATTGGCCATCTCTGAATATTGTCTCAGTTGTTCCATGCATTGGCCACCTCTGGTGAGTTAATAATTCTCACTTGTCCCATTAATTGGCAATCTCTGACGAGATAATATTGTCCAACGTGTTCCATGCATTGGCCATCTCTGATAAGATGGTGAGCGTCTTGGTAATAGGCTTAGCCACCACGGTGTCAGCATTGAAATAATGGCCTGATATTATTAGTTAAATCTATACCATATAGATTCTCAGAACAGAATAATCGCTGACATTATAAACTGTTCTGAAAATCGCCCAAGGTCTACAATAATATAATTATTTTACATTACTGAAATAATGGGATAAAATTCCTTATAGGTAAGTTGCATAAGCATGCCCATGCATATAGCTGGTAAACTTGCGGATTAATTGGCATATGGTGGTGCAATGTTGTCAACATTTTGGGTCTGACGGTTTCTGTGGATACTCATTTCTAAGGTATGACTTACCACTACCAAGTTGTCACAACATAACATCACTGAACTGCAGTCATTTCCTGCAGGGGGAGCATGCCCCCGGACCCCCTAGTAAGGTCGCACCTTCGGAGCAAGGTCTGCACCAATACAACTGATCTGTTTAGTATCGTCTTCATAGTTTACTGTGATGCCAGTTTATTCAGCTATAGTTTATGAAGTGATTGAATGTGCAAAGATAGAAGACTGTGCAGGAACTATAGTCTCCTTATAAAAGCGTCTAACAAGTCATATATTATGACGGAATGTCTTTGACAGTTTGAACGATGTGCCACTTCATTATTTTGAAAACTCGAAAGTGACTCGGATTTTCTTTTATTACATACATAGGGGCAGGCAAGTGTTACAAATTTTAACTGTTTTTTCATAATAAATCTGTCAAAATAATATGCAAACTTGGTGTGTGGCAAACGTGGCGTGTTCTTTAACCAAGTGATAGATCTTCTGCGCTTATTGTAGTATGGTGGCTTTATCCTATGCATCCTAGTTTAACTCCGACTGTGATATTACACTGTAATAGGTAAGCCATCACTGTGAGGCAGACAAAAATCTTTTGGTGTAACCGGTATCTTAGAAATTAAGGCCACCTGCAACCACAAGATGTAGCTCAATTGTGTGCTTCCACAATGTCTCAGGGCTGGCAATAATAGTGCATCAAATGATGCTCGAACACAACTTGATTAGCTCTCTTCTCATGACTTGTAATGCCTTTACGGCTTGATTGGATTGAAAGAGTTTTCAATTGATGCGACTTGAAACAAGATGCGAACTTGAAGCGGGGCACGGGCAGAGATGTTATACCAAGCTGCGTTGCGTTTAAAGCGTGGGGAGTCGTCACCTGCACAACTTGGTCATAGCGCGTCATTGTTTACAAACAAGCGCCTAAGCCTTTGCGTGTGTTGTTATCGTCTTGGTACTCGATTCCCGCGTGTGCGCAGGTGACCACCTCCCGCTTTAAGACATGCCCTGTCGTCAACTTTTAGGCGAGAATTTTGTTTACATCTTGCCAAACTTGTAAATTAACACTAAAATTGTATTCTATATTCATGATTGTACAAGACTGGAAAAAGTACTCCATGCATTCCCACTATCCATAAGTGCAATTTCGCCAGCTACATCACGTACCAGTGCGCCCTCTATGGTACAAACGTAAACATGCCATACAGTACAAACAGTGCCAGGTTTGTGGGTATATTTTATTTCCTGATTATATTAGGATATTGTTCAAAAATTTATTTAGTTAATTAG